CTGCTCCTGCCTTCCAGGCCGGCCTGGGCTGCTCGCGCCGCAGCCCCGAACCCTGGGGATCCGATGCCCGCGGGCGGCCGCGGAGCGCTGGAGGCACCGACGGGGCGCGTGCGCGGGGACCCAGGTCAGTGGCCGCAGGGCCGGAGGACTTGTCACCCCCGCCGCCACTGCCGAGACGCCCCCCGCCCGCGCCCGCCAGCCAGCCCGCCTCGGCGCTTCCCGCTCCTTTCTCGGCCCCCGCCCCCCGCGGCTGCTCGGCGTGCTCCCCCTGCCAAGCTGTCTCTCTTCTCTTCTCTTTCTCTCCCCACAGCCCCCCTTGCCTCTGCAGCCGGTGGGAGGGACTGGGACTTCCTGAGGTCCCAGGGATGGGGCCGGGGCCCGTTGGCTGCAATCGGACCAGGCCTCTGAAAGGGGAGGGGGCTCTGGCTGTGTCCATCGGCCTGGGGGAGGGGACCACCGCTTGGGTGGGAGGGGGGCTACAAAGAGACAGGCCCAAGGTGTGGGGGTGACATCTAGACAGAGGGGATGAGCGCCAGGTATCTTTCTTTTCTCACATCCTGTGGGCCTCTTGCCTGGCTTCATTTGTCCACACCTCCTAGCTAACTTTAGTCCCCACTGCCTGGTTTCATTTGGCCCCCACAGCCTCCCTTCTTTTTGGCCTTGTCACCTAGTTTTCTTACACCTTGCTACCTGATTTCTTTTGTCCCCACTGCCTGCTTTCCGTAAGTCCCAATCACCTGGCTTTATGGTATTGCTCTTTCGTGGTTGCCTTAGGTCCTGCTGCCTGGTGTTTGCTCCCTGCCTGGCTTCCATGGAGCCCTATCAGGCTCCTTTTAAGATGGGGACATCACGGCCCCAGCTACACCTGGAGTAGCCAAGTGGCGAGGATGTCAACAACATTGCCAATTGTTCATGGGGTTGGGGCCTAGTCAGCACGGCTTGGATTCCATTCTGCCTGGACAGCCACTCAGCATCTGCTCCTGTGATGGGGAGTGGGGCTTCAGGGTCCAAGGACACTTTAGAACTCTTGTCCTCAGTGGTTTGTTAGTGAAGTACCTGCTCTGCCTGCTGCCCTCCTGCCTGCTTGCTGCTGGACATCTGCCCTCACCTCTCTTTGGACCTGACAGTGATGACAGGGCTTTGGTTGGGGTTGAGGTTGAGGTCAAGGTCCCATTTCCTTCCCATCCTCTGCCCCTTCTGCAGCCAGGCCTGACATCTGGGTGCCTTATAAACAGTTATGGGCACAGAGAGGTTTCAAAGAGGCCTGGGACTACACAGCAGATAGCTAGGCTAGGAGATGCTATCCATCCTCATCCTGCAGAAGAGGCAGTGAGGAGGGGAGGCAGTCAGGACCTGGGGAGTGGGCTAGTTTCTGGGGTTTTCTGGCTCTTGCTGCTACTAGTGCCACCATTTCTGTCACCCAGGGGCTTCCTCACCGCTCCTGTCTGGCCTGGATCTCCCTTCATTCCCTAATGCCATTGAAAGAAGGGAGGAAGGAGCTGCTTAGGAAATAATTGTCTCTTTCCTTACTATTTAGGGACCAACAAAGTTCCTTCTTTCCCTTTCCTTCCTGCCTTAGGTCACCCTGGGTTTTATCCCTCTTCTGTCAAGCACAGCTAGGCAGCCTGAGGTCCCAGCATGGTGTGACTGTTGTGAGTGTGTATCTGTGTAGTTCCCGTTGCTGGGTGTGGGGTACGAGAGGCTGAGGGTGACTGGGGGCTCTGTGTTTCTGGAGGTGTACAATGGATATGTGTGG